AGGAGTAGTTTTGTTTGCTATGCTTTATGCCCCCAAAACCCCAAAACCCCGTATTTAATTTTTAGTATGGAAGTGTAAGTAATAGAAGCAATTATTAAAAAAAGTTCATATGGGAATATCTAAAGGAACACTATTAAATTCTTCGTCATCATTTTCATCATATCCAGCAAAATTATCTGATTAATTTGAGATAATCACACTTTCAGTCTGCTAATTTTTTTAAGCAAGCTTGCTAGATTGATCACCGCTAGCCTGGTTTGTTGAATCAGTGTTAGATTCAGATTTTTCTTACTACGAGGGCTAATTACTTTACTCTTGGGATTCACTTTATTAATTTGAAGGATTCACAATGGAATTAGAGTCTTAATTTTATTATTAAGGTTTAACTTCTAATTATTTCTTCATAGTATTTTGGATTTTTAAAAGTGCATCATCAAAGTAATTATTGACAGTCAATTTTCCATATTCCTCAAGGTACTTTTTAAGTACAATTTCATAATATCTATTTATCAAATTTGGCCCACTTTATTCACATGTTTCAATAGCTGAACTCATTTAATTGCATTATTGTTCAAGCTAGTCATCCTCAAATAGAAATAGGATTCCAGCATCTAATATTCTTTTAGAGCATTGTCTTTTAAACACCTGAACAGTGAACTCATTACAAACTGCAGTCACTTCATTTTCCATTTGAGCTATATAGCCATCTAAGTATTGTCAAAACAGTATTTAATTTACCAAGAGATAAGTCTGTTGCTACATTTGTTACAATTCCATATTCTTGCTCCTCTTTTATATCGGCAATTAGAGTTTGGCAATTAATGCTATCGGTATTGATTCTCTTGTCATCCCACCACCATTGGTTGAGAACTGTGTCATTTCTTGTTTAATTCAAAGCATACTGGCATTATTCCTGTGCTTAATGCATATTAAGTGCCATTGTATTGATAAGATCTTCTCTAAATTGAAGACTTGGCTTAAGTCCTTCACAGAACTGGGTAATCTTAACTAGCTTTTCTTGTTCCATTATTGGCAATGAAGTGGTTCTAGTTTGAAATGCTAAATATTGGTGCATTGATTAGAAACATTCCAGGACCTTCATATCATCTACATTCATTATATTAAGAAAATATTTGTGGACTAACATGACATTTATGGGGATTGAGAACTGAAACACCACTCCACTGCTTAGTTCAAGACTTCGCCTCTTTTCTATTTTAAGTTGTTAACATTGAAGCTGTCTATGAATTCAAGGCAATTAGAGTTAGAGAGACTAGTCAGTTTAGCTATAGTTTGCTACAGCTGTATTGACTTAGCTGCTTAGGATATTTCAATACGCATAACTCCCTATATTAAATAAATTGGCTGGTGATGATGAACAAATACCATGAAGAATAGAGCTATGACTCTGAGGGTTTTCATGTTTAATTTATTTATAGGAAAGACTTATAATTAATATTTAGTTGAAACTAATAATATATTTCCTGCTTTATCTATTTTAAATATAAATTTAAATTTAAACAAATACCTAGCAAGATCCAATGGAAAACTATAGTGGCAGTGAAAATGCTTAAGAAGATCTAAGCCTCTACATTATTGAATAACTTTAAGTCCTTAATACAGCAGTGAGATAAATTCTAGAGAGTCATAACATAGAAAGTCACATTAGTAAGATTAGACTTAGTATGATAACATTTGATACTTAGAATACTAAGTTGATGGAGCATTTAATGATTCTGAGATTAAAGTATTAGAAATATTAAAGCAGTCTTTAATGAAGGAATATTGTAAGGACCTGAAGCAAACAGTTTAAGATGAAACTTTGAAATCCCAATTTGAACTGTAAAGCAAGCTCTCAAAGTGTGATATGCCTTCGTATGATGACTTGCAGGTATTGAAAACCTTAGAGCGTACTAAAATTATGATGATCAATAAGATAGAATGGTATATTTAAATTGAGATCTATAAATGTATAATTTAGCATACAAAACTCTGAAGGCATTGACTAAATCTAGAGCAAAATAGATGAGATATCCGAGTATATAACAAAAGTTGATGATAAAATCTAGGAAATTGTTACTAAGTATGAGAAGAGACCTAAGACTCTACTTTAAAACTACGAATCAAAGGTTAGAAATGCCTAATACTCAGAGTATAACCCCATGATTACTCCCTTGAAAATTGATAAAGCGTTTTAGAGCTTCTAGAATTCTCATAGAATATTAGCCAACCAATCTTAGAATAATCTGAATGAGACTCAAAATGTGATAATGGAAACTAAATTATTATAGAAGCCAAGAGTTTAGGAATATGAAAGAAGTGATGATTAGGAAGAGAATATGATATCAGAGAGTCCTTTATTTAAAATTACAAAATTAGACAATGAGCTGAAGGGGTTGATGAAAGATTAAGATCACTAAAATGAATCTGAAGAATATCATAATAGATTATAAGTGAATTAAGATTTTAAGCTCTAAGATTTAGATGACACAGAGTTAAATGAGTCTAGCAATCTCAATAAGAATATCACAGAAGACTCATTTTCTTATTAAGATCACATAAGCTAAAACCAGTAATTATCAGCTGCTGATAAGAAAATCGAGGCATTACAGCAATCATTTAATGTGAGTGTCTGTATCCAGTCAAAGAAAATGGATGAAATCTAAGTAAGCACATCTACAGCATAAACTAGCAAACCTAAAACAACGACTAAGAATTCGATGTAGACTGACAAGCACAAAGCATTTAATAAAAATAAAGAAAATAATAAGTAAATCTCAAATCTAGATAATTCTAATAACGCTGGCCATGCCTCAGTTAAACAAAACCAAAGAGAAAGCTCAAAGTCAATGAATAGGCTTTAGCAGAAGAATCAAGTGACAAAGAATAGCAAACAGCCTAGTACATCCAAGTCAACTGCCAATACTACTACAACTACTTAAAACCCCAAAAATTCCTAATCTAACACAAGAATATCTCTAATGGACAAAGTCAAATCTAATAATCCCAATAAAGCTGAGGAGACTAAGGTTAAAAGAGAGTAGACAAGAGAAAAAAGCTCCAATAATAGAAATATATCAGTACCAAGACTCTAGCTTAACACTGTTCAATCAGATCAAGCTAAGTAAGAGACATTTCTAGGGTTCACTATTTTAAATAAAAACCTTGTTGAAGTTGAGAACAAGCAAAATAACTTCTCAGGGCTATTATCACCTATCAATCTTAAATAAAGTGATAGAGATATCTCTAGTAAACTTGACGAGTTGTATAAGAGCTATGAGACTAAAGAAAAGATATTTGGATTTGGAGGTAATAGTAGCAAGCAGCAGCAGTAAAAACCATCTCTACTAAATCAATCACTGTTGGATGATGAAGTGCTGTTGAATGATTCAAGAGATGAAATCAGATTCGAAGAAAATGCCATCGATACTGGTAGACAAGTGCAGAGAGAACCTGATATGAATAAAGAAACCCCTCTGAGGAAGGTCAATGATTTCTTCAGCTAACTTAAATTTGAATGAAACAATAGGGATGTAAAAAAGGAAGTAACGACATAAATTTGAGATGAATTAGCTTAATAGATTAATTTAATCAATAAATTAGACACTTAATATAGAAATTCCCTTGATGTATAATTTAAATTTTTCAAAAGTCTAGAATAGACCTTAAATACAAAGTACTCACATACCAATGGAAAAGCGCAGCAATAAGAGAAAATTGGATTAAATCTCAAACTAAGAAGAAGAGAAGGGGACAGTCCCAGTAAAGCAAGAAAACAGTAAAAAAGTTAAGAAAAATCCAGAGGAATCTTAATAAACTCCCAAAACTGAGGAACCCTCTAATAATAAAATGTAAAGAATTATATTGTGGTTCCGTAATGATCTGAGGCTGCATGATAATGCAATCTTGAACTATGCAGTCACTAAGGTGGCTAAGAATAAACAAATCATTCCTGTCTTTTGCTTCGATCCTAGATTTTATGGCCGCAAAGTCCAGAAATATGATACTCTCAAGACTGGATTAGTGCGATAGAGATTTATGATCGAGACAGTATAGAATTTTAGGGAGCGATTAGAGAAAGTTGGCAGTAAACTTCTTGTTAGCATGGATAAGCCAGAAATATTCCTCCCCACTCTTATTGATAAATCTTGTGATAACACTATTGTCTATCAAGATGAGATTTGCAGCGAGGAGCTCACAGTTGAAAAACTCGTCAAGGAAAAATGCAAGAAAGCTGAGATCAAAAGCTTTTGGGGATCATCATGCTACCACCTTGACGATTTAGGTTTCCATCCAAACGACCTTCCTCATATCTATGGAAAATTCAGAGAAAAGACAGAGGGAGTGAAGGTTAGGCCTCTATTCGGGTAACCAAAGCAAGATCAGCTTCCATTCATTGAAAAACCTTCCAAAGATATCCTAGAAGCAGCAGAATTTATGCCAACTCTAAAGGATTTCGGCTTCTCAAAAGAGGAAGTTGAAAAGCCTAGAGATAAAAGAGCTTGCTATGAGTTTATAGGAGGTGAAGAGCAGGCTACTAAGAGGTTAACTGAATACATCTTTGAGACTAAATCTGTTGGCAATTACGCTTTAGTCCGTAACAACCTCATCGGTGCCAATTATTCTTCAAAATTAAGTCCATGGCTTGCTTGTGGCGCACTTTCTCCAAGATACATTTATTTCTAGGTGAAGGAGTTTGAGAAAAAACACAGAACCAATGAATCAACTAAGGTATTCTTGGATGAGTTGTTTTGGAGAGATTTTTACAGGTTTTGGTGCATGAAATATGGCAGCAAGGTATTTTCTAGTTATGGAATATATAACAGGGAGTATTATGACTGGACTACTGATAAAGAGACAGTTAAAAAGTGGAAAGAAGGCAATACTGGAATGCCAATAATCGATGCATTGATGAGAGAAATGAATGTTACTGGGTTTATGCCAAATAGAGGAAGAATGATCGTGGCTTGCTATCTAACAATGGATTTAAAGCAAGATTGGCGTGAAGGGGCCTATCATTTTGAAGAAAAGTTAATTGATCATGATGTTCAAAGCAACTATGGCGGCTGGAATTTCTCAGCTGGTATAGGCCCAGGTAGAGTTCTTGTGTTTAACTCAGTTAAGCAATCAAAAGATCATGACAAGAACGGTGACTATATTAAGATGTGGGTACCAGAGCTTAAAAAGGTCCCAGTTGAATATATTCATGAGCCCTGGACAATGCCAAAGGATTTGCAGAAGGGTTGCAAGACAGTAATTGGAGAGGACTATCCCTATCCAATCAATTGCAGCAAATACACAAACAAAGTAGCACATACAATCGAAAAGTAAGCTAAGAAATCAAAAAGGGCTGAAGAAAAACTTAAGTAGACTAAATTGACTAAATGAAATGAAAATTATTAACTAAGTTTTGATTAGAGAATAAGATAGTTCGTAAGTTTAATTAAATTTTATTTGATGTCTTTGACTCTGTTTGATTATGAATATTACTATATATTGGCTTTTGGGGTTTTGGGGTTTTGGGG